CCATTGAGATTTTGGTCTATTTTCATTCCATAACATGTCTTCTTTCAGACTAGTGGAAAGAAAACATCCAAAATACACATACACTCTACAAAATGCTGGGTTATTTTAACCCAATTTTGGATAAAATATGGACAAACCCAGCCATTGGGTTACATTTTTAAATGACATTTTTTACCATATTTTACCCAAAATTGCATTTTTTCGAGTGTAGAAGTGTTTATTAAATTGCACTTTATGTATTTGTATCTGTAGATTTTGATTAAGATACATATCTTTAAACATCTCGAGTTTGTTCTTCACTTCAGAAACACTTACTTATTCTAAAGGTATTTACTGAGGGGTGTCTTCAAATATCATTCACATTTTTTTTTCCTAAAAACATGGTGTTTTCTGTGTAATTACAGTATTTTGTGATTTATGGACTGGAGTGATAAACATATCCAAAATGCAGGTTTTCGCCACATAAAATTATTAAACTCTAACGTGTCAAGTTTTTGAACCAGATTTTATCCGATGTCTAGATATTATTGTTTAGGAAATATAACCAAATTGGTGCATATTTAATAAGATAATGCATTATTTGAATATTTAAACGTGACGACAGGCCATTGAATTATTAGAAAAATAATGCACACCCGAGGTGGAAATAATTGCACACCTTTAGAACGTTCTCAACCAATCAGAATCAAGAATTCAACAGCCCTGTAGTATAAATATATATATTAGCTAAAAAAATGGTACTCTAATAACCTTTGCATTAAAAAAAGCAGGAGACTATAAGTCTACTTATCTTTTATAATAAACAATAGACATGGGGGATGTTACAGACAAGGACTTTTGCATCAAGCTCTCATGCACAGATCTACCAGATGAGGTGGTGGAAACGTCTTTAGTGTTGGCAAAACATCCCCGTCTCGTGTTATGTTTTGATTGCGCTCGTGTTTTCTCTTAATGTAAACAGATGCTGGTGAATTTCACCGTTTGTCAGGCGTTTCTCTGGACAGAAAGCTCATAACCCGAGCGCTTGCACTGCCAGCTGGGACACTCCAAGGCATTAGGGCTGCTTTCTGCTCTCCTCGCAGAGGAAAAACATTTGGACAATTGTTTTAGCAACCGACCCGCAGCAGGTTATTGATTGTGTGTACGATGAGCTTTAATGCATCTAATGGGCTGCAAAAGCATGGGGTGAGGAGGGACACGGCCAGGCTAAAAGGATCATGGGACGGGTCTTTCTCCAGCGAGGAGAATAGTTACACAAACAGCTACAGGCAAATCTCATTGGAAGGAACACACCGCGCAAGTATACGAAAGTACGTAGGGATGCACGATATATATATATCGGCTACCGTATCGGACGATATATGTTCACAATCAGAAAATTTGGCCAATATATTAAAGCCAAAAAATAATGGGTTATTTCCCATAGTGGTGAGATGGTGTTGACTTTAGAGCCAGACCGATAAAGGATTTTGAAGGCCGATACCGATACAAATATTTGTTGGTTTTAAAATCCGATATATCGGCCGATATTATTTTTATTTCAGAAACGCGCAACAAAATATTAACAGATTCCCCTAACATTATTTATTTATTTATGAGTTTTAACTAAAATAATATGATAATGCATTTTAAAAAGAAACTTGTTTCTTTTATTGTCACAACAGAACAGAGGAACATCAAAATATATTAAAGTTTTGATAAATAAAATAATAATTAGTCCCTACATTGCCTTATAGTTATAAGCTACCTTATAATTACAATGTCAGCTTGCTTATCCCTTTACCTGCACTTTTTGACAACACTCATGACATGGTTGATGCGTGATTCGTCCATTTTTATTTTTGAAATATTAATTTATCGGCCATTATAACTGCCGATACCGATATTTTAGAAAATGCCTAATATCGGCCTGCCGATATATCGGTCTGGCTCTAGTTGACTTGCCAGAAATATGATTGGAAACACTTCAACAAAGGAAAATACAGTTCAGTTCAACTTCAACATATAGGCGACATAACATTATAATGAAAACATAATTATAATCGTGTGCTTGGGACGTGGCTGTTAATGGTGAGACTTTTGTTTTTGTAATTAGGCTCTTAAAGTTCATACATAAATTTGGATTTAGATTTATCGGCTAATACATTGGTAATCAGATTTCAAATATAAAATATTATCGGTTATTGGGCAAATTTTCATATGTTGCACCCCTATACAAAAGCAGCCACATAAGGAACCACATGTACCTGCATTTCAAATTGCAATCTGACTTTTCAGAATGCAACAATGCAAAACAAAAAGCTAGTGTAGATGCAGAATAAAAACGGTTTTCGTAGTACTGAAGAAGTTTGTAAATGGAAAATACTTTGATGCGTAAGCTCAACAAACTGTCCAACAAAAGGAGAATCGTGCACACAACGCTTTTATTCAGAGGCTGAACGAGTTCAATGTGCTCAGTGTAAACGCAAACCAGTTTTAATTTGCATCATCATCAGTCACAATAGCAAATATCCCACAATATATATTTATAGGAAGGTTTTGCAACTAATGAAAGCACTCAGAAAGTTCAACTTAAAAATGCCTAGCAGCATTTTATGTCAACATTTTTTGATTTTTCTACATTTTTTAGTCTTTCTACTCAGCACTGAAGCATTTACTGAGTGAAAATCCTAGCTTTTTTCCCAATCCTACTCCAAATCTGCTTGCATTTGCTCTTGGTCTAATTCTCACCAGTTCAAGGTTTATGTTGAAACATTAAAGCGAGTCTGAGATCTTATGGTGGACGTACTGCACTGACGGAGAACAGCTGAGGCAGTTCCTCGTCCAGAGGACAGCAAGTTCTGTACGGAAAGCTGTTTAATTTTTAATTCTTCCCTGGATGAAGCTGAAACATCGATGCGACAGAGAGCCTCTTGGATTTTCTGTTCTAGAGCGCAGTAAAGGCTTGTTCACTATTAACAACTAAAACAAGAACTAGTGTCCAGACCAATGGACGATAATGTTCTGTATATTATAAACGCTTGCGCTGCAGTTTTGTCGTCTGCCGCTTTAAGTGCTCAAACTCTTAAAAGACTGGTGGATTCTGATTGGCTGCCAGTGTTTTTAATCAATCATCAGCTGAAAACATCGTAAAGCGATTCGAACGATATTGTTTTTTATACACTCTTAGAAGAAAAGGTTCTATATAGAACCTTAAAAGGTTTTATCAGTGCTACGTATTTGGAAGGTTCTATACACTATTTAAAAAAGGGTTCCTCTGGGTTCTATATAGAACCCTTGGTCAATAGAACCTTTTACCAAAAAAAATGGTTCTATATAGAACCATTTTGGAGTTCCATATATGAAGCGGGGTGGAACCATTTCTGGTTCTAAATAGAACCATTTCTTCTAAGAGTGTGTAGTTATGGTGGGGACATTTAGAAGAGAAAGGCTGTAAATGTGTGTATCTACTATCTTATTTTGTCATGATTTTGTGTGTGTGCACTAGCATAGATGACCTCAAATATAATAAAGATTGGGGATTTTTTTTTTTTAGATGGTAGATGAGATTTGTTCATAATTGGGGTTTGTAATTCAAACTGTATAATTCATATTCATATTAAATCTAAAGCTTTCTGAAAAACTGAGATACTCATATAGATTAGCTGATGAGACCATCATTACATTTATTTACAGGATTCGCTGCTGACCACCTTCACTTCAATGACGAACCAGCTGAAGCCTCCTAATCTAGAACAAAGATTACAAAAATAGCAAATCTAGGTAATTTATCCTCAATTACGCCAGCAACAGGATTATACTCGAGTCCAAATGCTTAATAAAGAAATAATTTTTCACAGAACTCATTCCGTAATTGCAACACCTTGCAGTAAATCCTCAAGAGGTTAAATAAGGGCAGGGGCGAGTTCACCTGGGGTTGTACTGGTTGCAGGTCATTATGGGACATGTTAGGACCTTCTTCAATAAAACAAAACTCTCAAAATAACAAGAAACTTGAAATACAGGAACTATGAAAACTAACAGCACAACAAGATAGACAAAGTTAAATACACAGAGCAAACCAATCAACACAATGAATACCATGTGTGCCAATTCATCAAACAATGAAAAACCATGAAAACCAAGGAAACTAAACATGAACAAAACCAAAGCAAACAAATAAACCCTGATAGCCTGACGTTCATCTACTCGTGTTTGTGCGTATTTAGAGTCCATAGCACAGGAAAAATAAGGGTTAATCAATGCAAACATATATGTTAAAATATTACATTAATGTTTAATTCTATGCACTAAAAAGTCACTATAAACGTTAAGCGTTATCCTCACTTAATTTTCTGTCATACGGGAGACTAGGGCAAAACTGAGTCAAAAGTAGTGTTTTTGTTATCTACTAAAAATAAACTGAAATAAAACAAAATATAAAATGTTAGATAAAAACTTAAACACAATTTTGAAATGTGGCACTGGCAACTAACTGAAGTAAGCATGAGCTGAAGTACTGATAGTAAATATAAATGAAAGCTAAATAGAATATTTAAAAAAAAATATAAACAAACATTTTAAAAATACAAATGCACAAAATAAAATGACTAAAACTTACACTAAATTGAACATATTAAGATAAAAGCACATATAAAATAGTAGCCTACAGTTACACAAATTTATGTTTTCTGCCGCAATTATTAAGATTCAACTGTAGGCATAATGTTGTCAGATATATTTATGTATGTGTGTGTATATATATATATATATATATATATATATATATATACACACATATAGACTGTTTGCAAGACTTGAAAAAAAATCTCGGAAAATTATCAAATGAAGTAAAAAGTGACAACTAGCCTGTTTTAAGGTTTTAAGAGAAAATACACACTTCTATCTGTTGTTGAGTGTCTCAGTCAAACACACACAAATAAAAATAGATAAATAAAAATAGATCATGTGAAGTGCATCATCAGAGCAGCTCGTTACGCACACAGATGGTCTAAACTTACACGCATGGAGCCGCTGATGTTGATGGCCATCTCAGGTGTCAGGGAGAGGAGACGCCGATGCTTCTCACCTGAGCAGCTTCAGTTTCACCACTGAGTCACACCATCATAACGGCAGTATGATAAATCATAGATGAACCAGATGAACCGCGTCCTGTTGCGCTGCCGCCGTCGCTCATAAGATCACATCCACTGAATCATTCTGCGAAAACCCGCGTCAAGTTTTTGGTCTATTTCATAAATGTGCCGCATATAAAGGGAAGTTGTTTTTCGTGCGTCTAGGACAGATATTAATCTCCGTTACACTACTAAATTAAGTCCAAAATTAGACCCTAAAGTGCATCTTCGGACTCCACAGACTAGGTCGGGTTCAATAGTCACCGGTTATCCTGCCGCTGTCATTCTGTGATCAGACTAAAGAACGCGCAGAAACCGTCACCCGGTGATCTCGCGCATAGTGCGCGCTCTGGTGCCAGACCAGAGCGCGGTCATGTGATGGACGTGTCCGCCATAGAAGAGAGCGGTTTCGTTTTCACATTAATTGTAACACGTGTTTAACTTCAAACTCAAAATATTACAGCATTATCCAACAAGTTTGGTTGAAATGCACCTGTACTATTTGGGTTCAATAGATGTCATGGTCAGTCATAATGCTTAGTGCGTTGCAATGGTTTTATTCAACGCCCTGTAAACCATGAGTAGCCTAACGCGTCATTAAATTAATCCAGGATTAGATATGGTATGTTAAATTTAAGCGCTTTAATCTGTCATAGGCTGCATAATGAGCTTTTATTAACGTTACTTGTGTTAAAGCTGGAAAATCCGCCCCCTTGTGGGTCATTGACAACGTCGTCGTGAGTAGGTGCCATTATTAGGCTAATATTAGCTATTTCAGGCTCATTAATCACATCTTTAAAATATAAGCGTCTCTTTGTATTTCAGTATATTCACATGCACGTTATAGCCAAAATACAAACAAAATTGATAATTTGGTCAGTCAGAAAAAACTGATGGTTAAACAGATTTAAATCTGTAGCAAATTCCTTTATTTGATAATAATTGTAAGAGATAATAGAAATGTATTAAGAAGTGTGTGGATACAACTGTTTAAACATGTATAATAGGATAATATATCTGTACAAAAGGCCCGGATACCTTTAAATGTCCTGGACGATTTCAACCAATCATAGAGTACAAGGTTGCCATAGTGACATTCGTGCTGAGGTGAATTGGTGCTGAGGTGGATTCAGTCGGAGAGAGAAGACGCATCATAATTATTAGTTAAGATACTTGACAGTTTCAGTTTAGTTAATCTGTAGTTTTCGACGATTATTCAGCTGGTTTACATATACATTGAGTCGCTGTGTGCGTACATACCAAGTAAGTTTATATTTCCAAGTTTTTCCGTTAGTATGCAGAAACTGTTAGACGATGTTCATTAGCGCGAGCGATACCTGATTGGCATAAATCTGCCTGTATTACTTCTTCTTTAGTAATTTTTCGGAGATTCTGCATGTTACTTTATGTTATGTATGAGACATTATGTTATTATTAGTTTTACGGTTACTTTAGAGATGATCATTATCATGAGGTAATCAGCGCCGTATACTGAGCATATGGAATGTCTAGTTAAACGTATTTATGTGCTATTAGCACCTCCTTGTGGTGATGTTTAGAATTATTATTCTGTCTGATAGCACTTCCTTAATGGGTTTGTTAGACTGAATGCTGTTAATAATGTTTATTATTAATGATGTATATGTATGTTAATGTTTATTTCTTTGTTTAATTTGTTATAGAACCACACCTACATACCCCATATGTAAATCAACCAGCTCTTCAGTAAATAAGTGAAGTTTGAACCCTGCCTGGTGTGTCTGTTCAACTAAGCCTCATCTTATACAGTTCTGACCGACTGCCTGCTGCGTTTCACATCCTTTAAAATTAGTCTACTATCGAACCTCTTCATTTCAATGGTCCTTCGAGCCGGAGCGTGAATCACAGCAGAGAGATGACATCCCACTTTGAGCCAGACACTCCTGTTGTTCGACCTAGACGACAGATAAGGCTGCCTGCACATCTAGCAGATTATCAAGTTACTGATTCAACGAATATGAAGAGAGCGTTACCTCTGTTTCCTCCAACTGCTGAGAGTGTGTCACAATCATCTTCTCCAGAGAGCCAGTCACCGTATCCAGATGGCCTACTACTATGTGATGAATGGCCAGATTTAGCCGAAGATGTGGCACCAGAGTATAATGAGCCCCGCCAAGACCAGCATCTCTTTGATATTAAAGCTATGTGGACTGAGATGAAAAGAGATAGCAATGAGCTTCGCAGTCACATTCTACCTGAGATACTTTCTACGCTGCGAGGGCTCCAAGTGGAGAATGCTACGTTAAAACAAGAAATTCAGCAGATAGCCACAGAAGAGTGACTCCTGGTCGACCAGTAAAGCCAGTTCCAGCCCCTCGCACCCATGTGCCATCATCCGTCCATAGACAGAGAGGTTCTACAGAGTATGCTGGGAGGTTCCTCTAGATCGATTTGCCCAGTACGAGCAGCTGACAAAGCAGATGGGAGACTTCACGTTTTCACCCAGGCCAGAGCACCCGTATGCTGGAAGGAGTCGCCCTGTCCCCTCTCAGAGGTCCTACGCCCACTCAGTACAGCCTGTAACAGCTGTTCAGCATGACAATGAGCCACTTAGTCCTAGAAGCAGCTATCGTCAAAGTGATAGAGACTTCCAACAGACTCCATGCCCAGAGCTGACGTCTAGATCAGAAATGCAGCCAGTTTATGAGCAGGTTTACCAAGGTCCTAAGCCTACCATCCCCCGTCTGACAGCAGCAGATCCCAGACAGTTTTCGAGATTACGGATGGCGCTAGAGAATCTTCTGCCAACGAATGCGAGTGAACGCTTTAAGTATCAGATCCTGACTGATCATTTAGAGCTGGAAGAGGCCCTACTAGTAGCAGATTCCTACTGTAATTCAGTGAGACCTTATACAGACACTATGCAAGCTCTCGTGAAGATGTATGGTCAGCCCCACAAGCTTGTGCTGCGGAATATAGCTGAAGTACTAGAAGGTCCCAATCTCAAGCCAGGTGATGTTAAAGCATTCAAGTTCTTCGCCCTCCGTGTACGCTCATTAGTGAGTATGTTGGAGCAGTTGGGGTCTGAGGGAGCATCTGAGTTAGAATGTGGCTCACACGTGTCCAGACTCCAGGGCAAGCTTCCCCACGAGCTACAGATCAGTTTTAAGAGATATGTCCACCCATCTAGGATCACAGTCCCCACCCTCATCGACTTTGCAGACTGGTTAGAGTATGAGCTCCAGGTCCAAGACGACACTGCCAAGACAACTACTTATGCTCCACCCTTAGCTATTAAGAATCGAGAAGGCCGTTACAACCCCAAGTCTCCTGGTCGATCGACAAGTTTCCTGCTGGGTACAGAGAAGCCTGCTGTAGACAGTGAACGCAGAGTGTCCGCTCCAGAGTCCCGGTCCAGCTCTGCACGGTATCAAGAGAAGGTACGTGCCTACTGCCCTTACTGTGATAACGCCAGTCATTTCCTTAATGGATGTCACAACTTCAAAGAATTAACCAGAGACCAGAAAGAGGCCTGGATTCGTAAGAATAATCGTTGTTGGAGATGTGGCCGCAATCATCATGCTTCCAGGTGCACACTGAAAGCCTTGTGCAAGACCTGCAACAGAAGACACCTCCTTATATTGCATGATGTGAATGATAAAGTTACGACTGACAGTACAACGCTCCCACCCCCAGAGAACTCCTGTCTTGTGAGTACCACAAACGACATCCTGTACGTTGACCGTTCTGTCAGTAGCCGTAGAGTAATGTTAAAGGTGAGCAAGGTGATCATCACGAATGGAGATGCATCGTTAGAGACATATGCAGTGCTTGATGACGGGTCTGAAAGGACTATCCTCCTTCAAGCAGCCGCGCTGCAGCTGAATCTCAAAGGACAATCAGAAGATCTGATACTCAGAACAGTGAGACAAGATCAGCAGGTGATTCATGGGGCGGCCGTTTCTTTCACAGTATCATCTGTGTCTCATCCTCACAAGAAATATCTCATCCAACATGCCTTTACAGCTGAGAAACTAGGTCTTGCTGAACACACCTACTCGGTGGCTTCCTTAAAGAAGAGGTATCGACACCTAACAGGCCTTCCACTGCAGCAGATGGATAAAGTGCAGCCGATGTTGTTGATAGGGTCAGACTGCCCACACCTCATTACGCCTGTTGAACCAGTCCGGTTAGGCCCACCAGGTGGACCTGCTGCAGTTAAGACCCGCTTAGGATGGACTCTTCAAGGTCCTACCCACGAGATTCGTCGTGAGATTAACACACACCAGTGCTTCTTTACCTCTATCCTCCCTAACGCAGATCTGTTTGCTCACGTAGAGAGATTATGGCAGATGGATGTGATTCCGTACCGCAGCAACAAGGTGGTGACGAGATCTAAGCTGGACCAAGAAGCTATTAGGCTCTTGCAGGAGAAGACTGTGAGAGTGGAGGTGGAAGGGACTATGAGGTATGCTACGCCGCTGCTGAGGAGTCAGAGTATGCCACAGCTAACCATGGCCAAAGAAGCTGTTCTTCCTCAGCTAAGGAGTGTCGAGAGGAGACTGCTAAAGAATCCAGATCAGGCTTCGGCCTACCAGGCGGAGATCACGAGGCTGAAGGAGGCAGGTTACATAGCCAAGCTGCAACCAAGGGAAGTGATGAGCTCTGCAGAGTCATGGTACATACCTCACCATATGGTGCAGCATAACAACAAGAATCGGGTTGTCTATAACTGCTCCTTCCAATATGAAGGTCACAGTCTTAACGAGTTCCTCCTTCCAGGACCCACGCTTGGCTCATCCCTTTTAGCAGTTCTGCTCCGCTTCCGAGAGCATCAGGTGGCCATAAGCAGTGATATTCGAGGTATGTTTCACCAGGTGAGGCTGCTCCCTGATGACATGCCCCTCCTCAGATTCCTGTGGCGTGACCTGAAGCCAGAACAACCCCCTGATGTGTACCAGTGGCAAGTTCTCCCCTTTGGTACCACATGCAGTCCCTGTTGTGCCACCTATGCCTTGCAGAGGCATGTCATAGACCACAGCCAGTCTGGGGACCCAGTCAGAGAGGTAATCGAAAGATCATTCTATGTCGATAATTGTCTACATAGTCTTCACTCTCCCAGAGAGGCCAGAGACCTAGTTGACCAATTATGTTCTCTCTTAACCACCGGAGGGTTTGAGCTTCGACAATGGGCCAGTAATTGCCCGTCAGTGGTTACTCACCTCTCTTCTGAGTCAAGATCAAATACCTGTGACCTCTGGCTTAGTCATGGCCAACAAGATACCCATGAGTCTACACTCGGACTACACTGGCATTGTCAGTCTGACA